ACCACTTATACAAGGAAATAAGATAATAACAAAACAAAACAAAACAAAACAAAAAAACAGAAAAAGCAAGGCAATGGAAACAACATCCAGAGCTCTGGAATTTGGAATTATCAAAGTACTCTTACTTATTCAATGAGATAAAAGACAAGATTTAGAACTTTAGCATCGAGGTATAAACTATTTTTTAAAATGATGAAGCAGACTTGAAAAAGAACCAAATTGAAATCCTAGGACTAAAAAAGCAATAACTAAAATTAAGTACATTATATCCAGCTGAAGAGAAAACAGTAAAATAAAAGATGAGTCAATATAATAAAATAGGAGGGAGCAAAAGGATTGAAACAACATGAGTATATGAAAGATTTTATGGAACTTCAGAGCAGTATGGAAAATAATAATTTTTTCAATAAATAGTGATAGGGTAGGAAGAAGTTAACTACAGTGCTTACAGATGTGTAGTTAAGTAGTAAATGAATTAAGAAAAGCAAATAAATGATTATCATAGACATCCAAAAAATAATTATATTTAATGGAGAAGAAAAGTTTGTGTTTGTGAGTGAGACCATGGTGGGGTGCTCTTAATATTCTATGTTTTCACCTATATATAGCTAGGTTTCACTTTATAACAATTGTATTAAGCTGGACATGTATGTTGAAGCAAAGTTTTAAAATATGGATGGATGGTAGTGATACGGAATTTTTGTACTGGAACCCGATTCTTTGTCCACCAGAGTCAAAGAATGAAACCATGGACAGAGGGTAGTATAGCAAAGGTGGAGATTTATTGAAGAACAAGTACAGACTCCCACGTGGGCAGAGGGTAATAGCCCCACAGAATGGACTCCCACATGGGAGGGGGGAAAGGGTCCACCGACTTCCTGTTTTCATGGTTTATAAAGGCTATAGTTCCGGTGTCCTGACATCCCCTCTGATTTGGTCAATATTCCCTTTCAAATTGGTTACTATAGTGACTCCTGAGGCCCTCCTCCCTCATTGTCCCCCTATTCCTTCTGGGCTATCTTCCTTCTTTATTTTGTAAATAGTATAGACCTTTTTTGACTACTTCCAGTTCCCTTGTCTTATGGAAATATACCTGTTGCTGCTTCCTTGTGTTATGGAAATGTACCTTCTCCCAATCTGTAGCCCTAGGTTTTTCCCATGGACCCCAATTCTAAAAAATTCCCTAAACCTGCCATTGTTCCCCTAAAATTTCTGTTTCAGTAGCAGACCTAGAGAGGCAAATCTTAAACTGACAATAGAAAAAGTTCAGAAACAACCCAATTTACATGGAAGGATTGAGTTAAAAAGAAAAGGATAAGTTGAAATATCTAATAATTAGTTTGAGCTCCAAATATCCTTCCCTATTCTATTTATTCATGTAACTGCCTCTTGGCCACTCAACAGAAGGCTGAAGGTTTCTTTTCTGTCCGGGTAAAACATTGTCTGGAGTATTAAATATTTGGCAAATGTGAGAGTGATGGTATTTCTCTGAAAGTAGAAAAATTAAGTTAAAATATACATATACATAAGAATATTAAAGCCCCAGACATCATTCTCAGCTTATGTGCTGATACATTGAGAGTTGGTCTTTATCCTAATATCAAGAGATTAGTAGTCTTTTCTGAAATATCTAACCACCTGCAGAGGAAATATTTAAAGATACTGAGTTCAGGTATTTTAGAAAGAGGATTGCCAGATGTAGCAAATAAAAATGTAGAATACCCAGTTAAATTTGAATCTTAGATAAACAAATAATTTTTAGTATGTCACATGCAATATTTGTGACACATTTATATTTAAAAATTATTTTTTGTTTATCTTAAGTTTAAATTTAACTGGGCATCCTGTATTTTATCTTAGAACCCTAAGAAGGAAGTAGCCCAGCCTGATTAACCTACATGAAGACCACAGCTGACAAATTTCAGTCTCATGCACAGAGCTTTCAGTCAGTTATTCACAGACTTAAATATAAGTGAATGGTCAGTGAAAGATTACCAGATATTTGAGAAAAGCTTCTAATATAAAAAATAAATTTTAAAATGCAGCTTGGATAAAATAGAGACTAGTTAAGAAGAAAATAATTTTTGAAACAAATATTTTTAAAGAAATTAAATTGTTTCCCTAAAATCCAAAAACATTATCTTATTAAAATAAAAAGCAAAGAAAAAAAACAAAACCACCAAAATTAATTCCATAAAAATTATCAATGACAGTAGACATATAAAAATCAAAGGTTTAAAATATTAAGTTGATAAAAATGTTCTAGAAATCAGAGCATAAAGAGTAAGAGTTAGAAGAAAATAGAAAAGATAGATATTAAAAGTTAAAGAACGAGTTCAAGAATGTCTTCATCAAAATAATATGGATTCCAGAAAGAGAAAATATAGAAAATGAGATATAAAGATCAAATATCTAAGAGTTTTTCAATAATGGAAGAACATAAATACCCAGATTAAAGTTCCTCTAAATGCCCCCATGCAATGGATTAAAATAGAGCTACAACCAGCAAGATCACCATGCAATATCAGAATACCGGGGACAAAGAAAAGTTTTCTATGAGCTTCCAGTGAAGAAAAGATCTTATGCAAAGAATCAAGAACAAAAAGGATTCCAGATTTTAGCAGCAAAAAAGCTACAAGAAAGTGGGTTAATGTTTTCACTATTTTAAGTGAACTTATGTCCAACCTAGAATTCTACTAGTATATCCAGTTGTCTTCGTTCTTTCCAGTCGCTTTAACAGAGTACCATAGAGTGGCTTATAAACAACAGAATTTTATTTCTTGCAGTTCTAGAGGCTGGGAAGCCTGAGATTAGAGTAAAGGTATATTCAGTGTCTGATGATAGACTACTTCCTAGTTCATAGAGATCCATCTTGTCACTGTGCCTCACATGACAAAAAAAAAGCAAAGGAGCCCCCTTGCTGCCTCTTTTTTAAGAGAACTAATTCCATTCATGAGGGCTTAACCCCCATGACCCAATCACCCCCCAAAGGCCCCACCTCCAAATATCATCACATGGGGGTTTAGTTTTCAACATTTGAATTTGGGGAGGACACAAACATTCAGTCTATAACACTGGCCAAACTATCAATCAAAGGCTGAGGACAGACAGAAGCCATTTTCAAGCATTAGAGCCCAAATTTATCTATGAATTTTCTCTTGTAATCTACTGGGACATGTGCTCTGCAAAAACAAGAGATTAGGTTTAGAAAGGAGGCAACATGGGATCCAGAAAACAGGGGATCCAACACAAGAGGTAAAAGGAATCCCCAGGATGATTGTCAAGGGAGATCTTCAGATGCCTGCTGTGACTGTAACAAGACATTAACACAGCCTAGAGAAGGTAAGAAAGTCCTCGGAAGGACAGACTACCTTATGAGGAAGAAATAGACACATCTGGGGTAGCATCTGGAGAGAATTTATGGTTTTGCCTGTAGAAAATGAAGGGGAAATAAATGAGACAACTGCAAAAAGCGTTGGAGAGGATAATGGTTACCTGTATTAGGGTCCTGAACCAGTCTCTTTGAGTTCCTGGCTCTGCCACATACACTTTATTTTCTTCAACTATAAAACAGAGATAATAATAATTACTGCTTACCTCATAATGTTGCATTAAGTAATATATATATATATATATATATATATATATATATATGCATGTTGGATATATATAAACTATGTAGATATATAAGGACAGTGCCTATCACAACATAAGAGCTCAATACATATTAGTAATTACAGTGTACTCCATAGCTCGGCTATGTAGCATGTATATAGTCACAATGATGTTAAGCTGAATATTTGATAAACTGAAAATACAGTGATACTGAGGAGGATGGAGGGATGGGACAAGTACATGTTTATGAAGAATGGGAAGGGTGTGTGTGGAAGGGAAGAAGATATTCTCAATATTCATTTGATAATATCTAAAAGTGAAAATGAAAAAGTAGTAATAGAAGCATACTATTTCCAGGTATGAATGAGAATACTAGAAGAATTAACTTAAAGAATTAACTTAAAGAATTAACTTAAAGAACTGATTGCCTTTGGCCCTGGCTGGTGTGGCTCAGCTAGTTGGTCATCACCCAAAAGGTTGTCTGTTGGATTCCTGGTCAGGGCACATACGGTGGTGTGGACTTGATCCCTTGTAGGGGGCAGGCAGGAGGCAGCCTATCAGTGTTTCATTCACATCGATGTTTCTCTCTCCCTTTCCCTTCTTCTCACTCTAAACATCAATTTAAAATCTTTTAACAAATAAATAAATGTCTTTTTAAAAAAGTGATTGCTTTTGAATGGAGGTATGGCAGCATTATTTTTCACAAACTTTGTGGAACTATTTGATTCTACTCTGTGCATGAGTAACAAATTTTAAAAAATTAAAACCAGACTTAAAACAAACCAAAAAGTCATTTGTATGTAATGCCAGAGAGAAAGCCATTTACAAAGCAGTACATTTCTATGAGGCTTGCGGCCTCCGGAGACTAGCACATATTGAATAACCACATGCTCCCAGGGACAGCAGTTACGCTCTCTCAGTGGATGTTCCTGTGGCTGTCATTTTGGAACACATTTGACCCCAACTGTCAGCCTTCTTCTGCATGTGGCAGGATGTCCCCTGGCTCTCTGTGTCACTGTAACAGGTGAATAACTAAGAAAAAAGGCAATCCTTCTGTCTGTGGACACTTGTTTATAATGGCATTTGGGGTCCTGGGGCTAGGCGGACAGGTGCTCTTCCAGAAGGCTAATGAGATAAAGCTTCCTCCAGCTGGCCCTTACGCAGAGCTTACACCTGAGAAGCAGATAAGCAGATTACTCCAGAAACAGACACTGCTTCGGGTTCTTCATTAATCCGCACCCTCGTGAAGGTAAACCAAGAAGGTTATCCTCACTCAACTTGCATCAGTATTTAATTCTTTCCCATATTTCTGTCCTTTTCTTTTTTAATGAGATTTGGGGCCCTTCCATGATTGTTACAAGATTTACCAATGCACAAAAGTCAGAATGTATTTGGAAACCAGAAGGGCTATTTTTGTTATTTGGATTTTTCTCCAAGTTCAAGGAAACAAAGGTACGTTGTTTAAACTTGTTTGTTTTTAAATTGCTTACCTGTAAAATCTATTTACAGAAGTGAACATTCAAAATCAACAAGGTTAGCACTGTATCTCAGAGGGCTAGTATATGAGAGGCCCTAAATAAATACTGAATGATTGATTAAATGATTGTCCAAAATGGTTTTTACTTTATTAAATATTTACTACATAATCCTAAATTGCAATTTATATTAACAAAATAGGAGAGACGAATGCATCCAACTCCTTAAAATTGACAAATAAAATCTAAAAAATATAATTACTGTTTTTTCATTTATGATCAGACAAAAAGTGTATTTCTTACCTTCTCACAGTTAAATCATGAGTTGCTTTCCTTAGAAAATAGAAAATCTGCTTTAGCTTCAGAGTTTATGATTACAACCAACTCAGAAATTTGGTAGTTTTTGAAGTTTTATGTATATAAAAACTAGGCACTGAATGTTCTTACAGCAAATCTTCAAATGAATCTAAAATTAAAGCAAACTACAAAACAGGCATATTTTTAAAAACAATGTATTTTTAAAACTTGAAGAAAGCTTCACTTTTTTTAAAGAATCAGCTTGATTTTTAAAACATGATATTTTTAAGACATTTGAAATCAATAATTTTCAGTTCTTCTTTAAGGATGACAATTAACATGTTAATTGAACTACTGGTTTAAAATGTCCATAGAAAAGTACAAACAAATAGTTGTATGCTTATAAGTCACACAATAACTGATTCTGTCAGTTATTTTACATATAATTTTTAGTGGTTGCATTTGTAGGGAGAAAAAAATTTCTGGAAAATGTTATATAAAAATTCCCTTTATGTTTTGCTACATAAATGATAGTGGGGGAAGCAAAAGTTTACTTACCTGCCCTTTCAGTTGTCAATTGCATATAAATGTTTAATTTAGCAAAAATATTTTAATTTAAAAAATTGTGGTATTTTAGTGTATTCTGAATTTAATATGCTAAGCAAGTCAATTTGTCTGTTTCACAAACTTGACCAGGCAAATCAGCCTTGGTTTTTTGTTTGTTTGTTTACTTAATTATGTTAATAATTTCACTATTTTTTCTATCTGTATATTATATATCAGCTCTTACAAACAACTTCAAATTGCATAATTATATGTAGAAAGTATAACAACATAAGCCCACCAAAAAACTACAATTTGTTGTATACCTATTTCTATGAAACAAAGTATTATAACTATAAAATAAAAAATCCTAACATGTTACTTGTTTGGGGCTTTTGATGCTGTAAGAATCTCAAATCTGGATTTCTGTTAATCTTCAATTAGTGGGGTCTACATTAATTAGAGTTTATTTACTTCAGCCAGACTGGTTTCCCATTTGTGACTAATTAACCATCATGAATGTATTTACATAGAAAATGGTTTTGGGAGAGAGAAGATTTCAATGTAATACAACTAGCTTGCCTTGCATAACAATTGGGTGTTACAATTCAAGAATTTGATTTTTTAATATAAATTATTTGAAAAATAAAAAAGATGTGAAAAATTACCCATGGTGCTTCCATCCAAACACAGCATATGCTAGCACCTTCATATGGTTCCTCAGTCTATGTATGTGTAAGGCCGATGAAAAATCCCCCTTCCCCCTAGACCAGCTTTTTCAGTAAGCTCTGGTTAATGTAAAGATTAAAGAGAACTTCCCCCTCCTGACCTTTCCCGTAAAGCTCTGGCGCCCTGATCTGGTCATAGCATAGTTATCTTATCACTCCTCGGGATCGGCCTGCGCATACCAGACCACCCTGGCCCCTTAGGAAATGAGTCAACTAACAACAAAGACCTGTCCCTGTAAAAGATGAAATATGAGTTAACTGGTAACCCAGTTCCCTGTTTTCCGGCCACCTGCGTGTGGTTTTTGCCTTTATAAACCCGTGTTCTGCAATTGCTCGGGGCTCCAGTCAGCAGCACTTCCTTTGTGTTGTTGCCTGCCTGCCTGAGAGCCCCTGCGCTGCGCTTGTAATAAAAATCCTCTTGCTCTTGCATCAAGCCTCGGTCTCTGCGTTTGACTTGGGGTCGCCGCCTCCTCTGCTGGACTCTCCGGGGGTCTTAGGGCCCAACATTTGGGGGCTCGTCCGGGATGAGGCGACCCCCTTCAAGCGCTGGGATCGGTCTTGGAGGTAAGCAGACTCCGGAGTCATTCAGTGTTTGTCTTGTCCTTTGTTCATTCTTAGTTTCGGTTTTTCAGGAAGACAGGGTGTCGGCTCCGTAAGGAGTCGGCTCCTCTGGTCGTAGGGGCTTCGGCCAGAAAAACTGTCACCCTGGGGGACGCCCCAGGATCGGGCGGTGACCAAGAGGTCTTGGTCACTTCAGGTTCTGGCTGTCCGGCAACGGGCACTCGCGTGTCCGGCCGGACTAGCATTAGGGAGGGATATCATCCCTCAGCGGCCGTTCTGTATCTGGGTAAATTCTTGTGGATCCGGTGTCTTGTCGCGTCATTGTTTGTTCTTTGTTTTTGTCTTTTACTCCTCTTCTCCCATCCAGGTAACATGGGCCACGGAAGCAGCACCCCTCTTTCTCTTACAGTAGCACACTGGACGGACGTCCGGAGTCGGGGACTCAATCTTTCCGTCAGTGTCAAGAAGGGTCCTTGGCAGACTTTCTGTTCATCCGACTGGCCAGCCCTAGGCGTGGGATGGCCAGCGGACGGGACTTTTGACCTGTCTATTATTTTTGCAGTAAAGAATAAGGTGTTCCAATCAGGCCCGGCGGGCCATCCAGACCAGCAGCCGTATATTGTCGTCTGGCAGGACCTGGTCCAGAACCCTCCCTCTTGGCTGAAACCCTGGCTGCCGTCCGGAACCTCCCGGGTTCTCGTGGCCCAGGCTCCTCCCGCCGCAGATCAGACGAAACGTCCCCTGGCAGATTCTCAAGCCGATCTTCTCCTCTTGGACTCTCCACCCCCTTACCCCTCTCCTCTCCAGCCAGAGCCGCCGGGGAGACCGGAGCCTTCAGCACCTCCTCCCGCCCCTCCAGCAGAGGGACCGGCCCAGGGAACCCGGAGTCAGAGGAGACATCCCGCGTCTCCAGATTCGACCGTAGCCTGCCCTCTCCGACCATACGGGCCTCCACCCCCCCGCGGAGACGATAATGAAACGGCTCCGCTCCAGCCACTCCAATACTGGCCCTTCTCCTCGGCAGACCTCTATAACTGGAAAACTAACCACCCTCCCTTTTCAGAGGATCCCCAGCGTCTAACGGGGCTGGTTGAGTCCCTTATGTTCTCTCACCAGCCCACTTGGGACGATTGTCAACAGCTTCTTCAGACTCTCTTTACTACAGAGGAAAGGGAGCGGATCCTCTTGGAGGCCCGGAAGAACGCCCCTGGCCCCGACGGCCGGCCGACTCTACTCCCTCATCTGGCTGAAGGCCCTCGAGACTGTCCAGAAGGAGGTGTGGACTCCCCTGGCCGCCCTCTACCAACCAGGAGAACTGCAAGTCCCCCACCAGTTCCAGGTCGGAGACTTTGTGTACATCAGACGCCATCGGGCCGCTAATCTCGAGCCGAGGTGGAAGGGACCCCACCTGGTATTGCTGACAACCCCAACAGCGGTCAAGGTAGACGGTGTAGCTGCTTGGATCCACGCCTCCCACGTCAAGCGGGCACCCCCATCAGACGACACCGATCATGGATGGACTGTGGAGAAGACAGACAACCCTCTCAAGCTACGGATTTGCCGCCGCCCTCTTCCTGCTGAGCCTGCCGCTGATAAGTAGCAACCCCCATGCCCCAAAGAGACTAACTTGGAGGGTAATGCCCCCCCACACCGGACAGACGGCCTGGTCGGTCACCAATATAGCACCTAAAGGGACATGGTGGCCAGACTTAACGCCAGACCTCTGCGCTATGGCAGCAGGATACAGACTATGGGACCTCCCTGAGAGAACAGTAGAAGAGACTAAAGCAGGTATAGAGACCCGAGCTTACATAGGAAAAGGAAGAGATTTGCAATTTGGAGTTCACTGTAGTTATCTGGGGGCCCGTGAGCGTCTTACGATGACCCAATTCTATGTATGCCCCAAAGACAGGCAGGGACATAGAAAGAATTGTGGATCTGAACGAGAGTATTTCTGTGCAGAATGGGGATGTGAGACAACTGGTACTGGATATTGGATCAGAGGGCCCCCCGAGTGGGACCTCATCCAGGTTCGGAGAAATGAGAGCCAAACCTCCGGACATAGGGGTTGGGTTAACGCCCTGAATATCTCCTTCACCTCAGCTGGGCGGTCATACGACCTAAACAAGTGGCGCTGGGGAGTGACATGGGGGATCCGGCTGTATAAGGACCAACATGATGATGGCCTCCTTTTTAAGATAAGATTAGATGTACAGGATTACAGGCCACCAGTTGCAGTAGGACCCAACACCGTCTTGTCCAGCCGGCAGCTCCCCACGAAAGAAAGGCCTCTTGCCACCACCACCGTGGCAGGAACTAGCCCAGCCTCCAGGGAGGAACAGGCCAACCCCATAGAACTAGAGACAAACTCAGGTCAGAGGCTATTAGGCTTGGTAGAGGGGGCCTTTAGTTCTTTAAACATGTCCAAGTCTAACCTAACTGAGTCTTGCTGGCTCTGCCTAACTACAGGGCCCCCCTACTATGAGGGCATAGCCTTCCAGGGAAACTATACCAACACCACCAGCCATGACCACTGTTCGTGGGGACAGCAGGGGAAGTTGACCCTTACTGAGGTCTCAGGGCAAGGCACATGTATAGGACAAGTGCCAAAGGACCGCCAGCATCTCTGCAAGGAGAACCTGGCATATCCCTCCTCTGCAAGCTATTACTTAGTGCCCCCAACAGGGGGATGGTGGGCCTGTAGTACGGGACTTACTCCATGTTTAGCAGCCCAGGCCTTTAACCGTTCTCAAGATTATTGTATCCTTGTCCAACTAGTCCCCAGGATCATGTATTATCAAGCTAATGCATTTGAAAAAAAATTTGACTCCTATTCTCCTTCCCATCG